ACTGCAGATTGGTGCAGCCAATTTGGAAAGCAGTATGGAGATTTCTTGGAAAGCTGGGAATGGAACCACCATTTGACCCAGCTATTCCCCTTCTTGGTCTATTCCCTAAAGACCTAAAAAGAGCATGCTACAGGGACACTGCTACATCGATGTTCATAGCAGCACAATTCACAATAGCTAGACTGTGGGACCAACCTAGATGCCCTTCAATAGACTAATGGATAAAAATATGTGGCATTTATACACAATGGAGTATTGCTCTGCATTAAAAAATGACAAAATCATAGAATTTGCAGGGAAATGGATGGCATTAGAGCAGATTATGCTAAGTGAAGCTAGCCAATCCTTAAAAAACAAATTCCAAGTGTCTTCTTTGATATAAGGAGAGTAACTAGATCAGAGTAGGGATGAAGAGCAGGAGAAGAAGATTAACATTTAACAGGGATGAGAGGTGGGAGGGAAAGGGAGAGAGAAGGGAAATTGCATGGAAATGGAAGGAGACCCTCAGGGTTATACAGTGGAGGGGGTAGAGAGAGAGGAGGGGATGGGAGGGGAGAGGTGGGGAGGAGGGAGGGTGGAGGATGGGAAAGGCAGCGGAGCACAACAGACACTAGTATGGCAATATGTAAATCAATGGATGTGTAACTGATGTGATTCTCCAATCTGTGTATGGGGTGAAGGTGGGAGTTCATAACCCACTTGAATCAAAGTGTGGAATATGATATGTCAAGAAATTTGTAATGTTTTGAACAACCAACAATAAAAAATTAAAAAAAAAAAAAAGGACTAGGGATGTGGCTTAGTGGTTAAGTGCCCTTGAGTTCAATTCCCAATAACAAAAAGAAAAAAATGCAAGACTGTGAAAGGAAAGTTTATAGGAAACATTTCAAAAGTTAACTTTTAAATTCATTTGAAAGTATAAAAAATAATTTCAAAATTATAAGATGGCTCCAAGAATATTACAAATAAAATCCACTCTTCTCTCCTATTCTCTCCAACTGTTACATTTTACTGCATTTTATTGCCCTCCATGTCTATGATCACCATTACATAGATTTTTTACTTTACATCATCCTTTATCACTACTGAATACTCCTTAGTTTAAACTCCAAGATATAAAGACACTATACCATATCAACCTCCCAGTGAGGAACTTAACAATGACAGCTTCACAATTATTGAGTCCTTCAACTCCAGTCAGATGTCACAAGCTCACCCTGCTTTCTTTCTCTCTCAGGATTCTGAAGAAACATGTATTTCCTGGATGTTTCATTTTTTTATCCTCTAATCTGGAAAAGATGCTCAGTCTTTCTCTGGCTCTCATGTGGTTGAGTTAGGACATTTCATGAGTGACCTTCAGATGGTCTATTACAGTTGCTTAGGCTGACTCAGGCATGAAACCATGCTGAGGTCCCAGTATAACACACCTGAGCTTCACCCACCACAGCTGGTGTACACCTCCATCATCTGATCACATTGGTGTCTGCTGGACTTCTCTTCTGATAAATTACTGTTTTCCCCACACTGGAATAGATTAGTATATTATTGGGAAATAAAATAGACTATTTAATGCCAAATTCTATTCCTCATCAAATGTCCCACACCAATTTTAGATGCACCCAAATCTCCTGCTCTTGTGGTAGCTGCCTAACATGTAATTGTTGACAGCATATCTAAGAAAGAGGTGTTTCTTCTTCCCTATTCATTTCCCATATGATTCAGTGAGTCGGAATCTCTATTACTCCCTGTTTTAGTGATCAAGTTGATCCTGATTGGGCCTCATTCACTGTGGCTTTTGTGTTCCTTTGACTTCTCCCTAATCATTTGTCCAGCATTTCTTTCCTTTGTGGTCATTATGATGTTCCATGCTCATGTTGTACTATATCAGCCATTTGTAGAAGGTGCCCTTGGTTAGAAACCAAGATATGGTTGTTTAGTGCACTTACTACTATTGGAGTGGCTTAGCTTCTAGTGGCATTGCCTTTAGAAGACAAATCTAGGAAATATACATGTGTAAGTGTGTGTGTGTACGCACATATAAAGTAGAAATCTGATTCTATATTTTATTTGTTCAGATAATAATTATAAATATACTTACATATGCATTTATGAGTCTCTGTGTGATTTGCACATTGTATGTACCCAATCTACCACTGAGCAACATTACCAACACCTACATGTGAATTTCTGATAGTCACAAATAAACATGCATCTGCAAATGTTGATATTTCTTTTAGCATTTAATGTTATCATTAAAATCCTGTGAATTCATAATAATATTCCTAATTCCAATCTAACAATTCAGTGTATTTTAAAATATTTTTTTTAGTTGTAGATGGACAGCTATACTTTATTTTATTTGTTTATTTTTATGTGGTGCTAAGGATCAAACCCAGTGCCTCACTCATGCTGGGCAAGTGCTCTGCCACAGAGCTACAGCCCTAGCCCCCTTCAGTGTTATTTTAAATTTTGTCCTTTCAATCTTTGCAAGTCACTTTAGACAGTGAGAGATATGGCCCATTATCTCAATATATTTGCTTATTTTCTCAGTTAAGTAATTTAATTGTTTAATGCAATCAGTCTCCCAGTTGCTTTGGTCTACCACCTCTGGAACCCCTCTGCCTCATATATTAAGCTGGCAGACACATCACCTTCATGGCTCACCCTCTCTATCACTATGTCACTTCCTCTGGTGCCCATGCCACCATAAGAAAGGTTCTGTGCTAGCAGAGAAGAAACAGGAAGATGCAAAGATGGATAATTAAACATCTTAATTTTGAAATGTAAAGTGCACATACAAGTGTAGATGCCAAGTTATGGGTCTAGCCTTCTGGTACCATTTCAGAATATACCCAAGATATTTTTATTATTTAGAAATATGTTAATGATGTTTATTAGCAAATGATGGATTGATACAAAATATATAACTGCTTTCTTTATGCTTTGCACTATGTAGCACACAAGCATGCTGCCTACTGCAGGGAGCTCTAATTGGTCATTCTAAATGACTTATGTGTATTCTTATCATCAATGGTCTAGTTATAATGCATATTCTATTTCTTTAGTCTGAGATAGAGCCTAAGATTCTCCACAGGAGAATCAAACAGGGGATTCTGATAACGTTGCCACTGGTCCTCAGACAACATTTTCTGAAGCAGGGCTGTCATGCAATTATGCTTCCTGCTTCTAGTCCAGCTCCCTATTACCTGCTGGCTACAGTTGTGTTTTTTGAGTGAAGACTTAATCATCCCTTTTTTGGGGAAATCTCTTTAGTTATTTTCTTCATCCAACATCTAATATCTCATTATCAAAAACATACACACACATAAGTCCTGCTTTGTAAAAAAAGAGCTTCTTTTAGTTTCCAAAAAAAGCATTTTTAAAAAATTTCATGCTTTGTTTATTTTGTTCTTCAAGAATGAGCTGTCTTCTATTCTTAGATCACTCCTGCTGAGACTTTTGATGTTCTACTAGTACTATCTTCATAATGGGTTGTAAGTCTCCTATTTTGCTTAAATGGAACCCTCATCTAATTCTATTTCCCATTGTACTGAAATTATTGGCCTACTGGCCTGATTATCTTTGAGGCAAAGCATCTTTCCACACACAGTTAGCATGTACTAGGTGCTTCTCAAGTATGCATATTCAAGCTGTCTTCTCATAATTTTTTTTAGTAATAAAGTTTGAACCTTGGGGTGCTCTACCACTGAACTATATCTCCAGTTCTTTTAATTTTTGTTTTCTTTTTTTAAAAAGACAGGGTCTCACTCAATTTCCCAGGTTTGCCTCAAATTTGCATTCCTCCTTCCTTACCCTCCTGAATACCTATGATTAAAAGCATGTACCTCCATGCCCGGTCCCTAAAGTATTTCAAATATAGTTTTTCAACAATGATTTTGTCATTGTGTCTTCTACCCATAAGCTATAACTCCTTTGTAAAGGAAGTTTAGCACTGCTTATACTGTAGAATAAACCAGAAATCAAATTCAAAGTTTTTTCCCTAGTATTCGATGACCCTTTGATCATCTGCTTGAACGTTAAGCCTGAAATGTAAAAAGAAGAAAATAATTATATCGGAACTGCCTTATAACAATATTGTGAACATGAAAACATGGCTGTTTCTAAAGCATTTAGCAAACACATAGTAATGTTAATTGTTTTATCAGGTTAGATGAATGAAAATTAAACCTAAAAGATATAAATGATCAAGGAGAATTTATCATATGACACCTTTAATAATATTTACTCTATAACTCGTTCTCAAACTCAAGTGTACTTACAGATTACCTGGGCTGCTTCTTAAAAATATGGACTCCTGCCAGTTGCAGTGGCCCATGCCTGTAATCCCAGCAGCTCAGGTGGCTTAAGCAGGAGGATAACAATTCAAAACCAGCCTCAGCAACTTAGCAAGGCCAAAAACAACCTAATAAGACCCTGCATCTAAATACAAAATAAAAGAGGGCTAACTGGTTAAGCACCCCTGGATTCAATCCCAGGTACAAAAAAATTAAAAAAAAAATGAAAATTAATCCCTGTACCTACCCCTAGATCTTAATTCATAATCTGGGAAGACTATCCAGGAATCTTTATAGTAGATTCCAGACTGTTGATTCACAATCCTTTAAGAAGTCCAGTTTTTTTTTTTTTTTTTGGAGAGAGAGAGAGAGAAAGAGAGAATTTTTAATATTTATTTTTTAGTTTTCGGTGGCCACAACATCTTTATTGTTATGTGGTGCTGAGGTTTGAACCCAGCACCCCGCACATGCCAGGTGAGCTACTGCTTCAGCCACATTCCCAGCCCATGTCCTAGTGTTTTTAATAAAAATATTGAATTTCATTTCCCCAGTAATCATGTAGATAATATAAAATGAGATGAGAACTTCATAAGAGAAAATCAAGTGGAACTGGGAACAAATGGTCTAATAGCAAGAATGAAATATTTTACCAAGAAGTTCAGGATTCATATATTTAATGATTCATTGTTTTCCCTTTTAACTTAGGATTTCTCAGCAGGGAAGAACGGTTATCTTCTCTATTCATAGACCTCACTATTTCATCTTCAAGCTGTTTGACAGCCTCACCATCTTGGCTTCAGGAAAATTAATGTACCATGGTCCTGGAGTACTTTGGAGTACTCCAGGAGTACTTTTGAAGGCTTTGGAGTACTTCTCATCAGCAGGTGTAGTAGACTTTTTGCATGTACTTGATCCTTCATTCATCCTATGTTGGGAGAGAGCAGAGGAGTCCACAGGAGTGCTGTTTGATAATATATAGGTACCTGGGATTCCACCACTCTAAAACATCTTTGGTTACTTTGGTGCCAGAATTTTTCTTCATTTTGGCAGTACTTGCTTGATTTTTAGGTCTCTTTCTTTTTCCTCTCCTATCTGAGTATGCATGTGTGTGTGTGTGCATCTGAGTATTTTTACTGGAACTGTATGTTATGATTCTTAGTTATCATTGATTTGTAGTCAGATTTCCATTGTTGTGACAAGACACCTGAGAAAAACAACTTATAAAAAGATAATTTATTTTGGCTCATAGTTTCAGAGATTTCTGTCCATGGTCAGCTGGCTCCATTGCTTTGGACCTGAGCTTAGACAACGAAGAATCTCATGAGGAAGAATGTGGTAGAGGAAAGTTGCTCAGTTCACGGCTGCTAGGAAGCAGAAAGGGAGAGAGAGAGAGGGAGAGGGAGAGGGAGAGGGAGAGGGAGAGGGAGAGAGAAGAGGAGAGGAGAGGAGAGGAGGAGGAGGAGGAGGAGGAGGAGGAGGAGGAGGAGGAGAAGGAGGAGGAAGAGGAGGAGGAGGAGAAGGGACAATGATGACCAGAGAGGAGGGGAGAGGTGGGGAGGGGAGGGGAAGGGAATGCAATTTCAGATCCTCCCATGGCATGCTCCCAGTGACCTATTTCCTCCAACTAGGTCCCACCTCCCAGTAGGAATAATTGGAATTATTAATACATCAAATGGATTAATCCACATGAAGTTAGAACTTTTATATCCAATTGTTTCTTAAAAGCCCTGCCTCTGGACATTTTTCCACTGAGGACCAAGCCTTGTACACAGGAATCTTTGTGGGACACTTCATATGCCAACCATAAATTTCTACCCTGGTCCCAAGAAACTCATGCCTATCTCATAATGCAAAATGCATTCAGTCCCAAGAATCCCCATAGCCTTAATAGTTCTACCAGGTCTCAAAAGTCTAATTTCAATGTCTCCTCTGAGATTCAAGACAAAACCTTAGCTGTAAACTCTTACATAAAAAAAAAAAAGTTCTATGCTTCCAACATATAATGACAGAGTAAACCTTCCCATTCTAAAAGGGAGAAACAGGCACATAGAATGAAGGGATTGGACCAAAGCAGTGAAAACATTAAATTCTGTAGGTCTATGTTTAGCTTCTGAGACAATGATAGCAAGATCTGGGCTCTTAGGGCTGGGGAAGCCCCTCTGCCTCTGTCCTTACTTGTTGTAACCCCTATGGCTCCTTCTTCTGGTTCTGCTCCTAGTCTGCAGCTTTCCTTGGGAGACATTCTACATTCTAGGGATCTCTTAATTCCTGGAATTCCACTGCATCATTTGCTTCACTCTCAAAGTTTCACACTTTGCCTTCTCAGGGTTCACCTTCAGGGATTCCAACTCTGAAACACACTATCTGGTTCTCAGGCCTTCATTTGAACTCTCTGTTGAAGTCTGAGAGACTCCTCTAACTCTAACATCCTGCATTCCTGCAAAACCAGCATCATGTGGATGACAGCAAACTGTACAACCAGCCACAGCTCTTTTCTGGACCTCTTGAACCATGGTTGCAGCAGTTCTGAATGCATGTGCTGCTAAGCAGGGTGTTTTAGTTAGCTTTTTCACCACTGCAACTAAAAGACCTAATCAGCACAATTGTAGAGGAGGAAAAGTTTATTTTGGGCTCACAGTTTCACAGGTCTCAATGGATAGACAGAAGGCTCCTTTCCCCTGGGCTCAAGATGAGGTAGAACATCAGAAGAGTGTGGCAGAGGGAACCAGTTCACATGATGATCAGTAAGCGGATACAGGTCTTCACATGCCAGATAGAAAAGCCACGCCTCCAATTCCCACCTCTTCCAGCAGCTCCCTACCACTTCACTTACTCTCAGTTAATCCCTATCAGGGGATTAATCACTGATTGAGTTAACACTCTCACAACCCAACATTTCTCCTCTGAATCTTGTTGCATTATCTTACATGTGAGCCTTTGGGGGACACCTCACATCCAAACCATAACACAGGGTGAAAGGAATCCTAGGGAAAGAACTTCTTAGGCACCCCTGTGCAAAGGACTCTTCTTAAAGTCTTTCAACATGTTTTCATTTGTACACTATTGAGCCTGTTATGCAGTTTGGTCAATTCCTGAATGCCCTCAAGGCATCTCTCCTATTGTCTCTATGAGAAATACTTGTTTTGCTTTTAGTCATGCCAAATTCTGGCCAAACTACAAAATTTTCAAAATCTTTCTGCTTTGATATTTAGTCCTGATTTTTATTATAAAGATGGTCAAACAGATCAAAATGCTGTGCTGCACTGAAATTTCCTCCACCAGATTAATTAGTCCATCACATTTAAATTCAACTTCATACAAAGCCTAAGGACATGGAAAAGTGTACACATGTTCTTTGCCAGGATGTATTACTAATGGCCTCCAGTCCAGTTCCCCAAAGAGTCCTCACTTCCATCTGAAACGAATGAATGTAATCTTTACTCTCTGCATTCCTATGTGCATTCTGGTCTTCTGACCTCCCACCAGAATTGTTCAATAAGCTCTGTTTAAAATATCTTAAGGCTTCTGTAGCTATCATCACCAAACCTTTCCAGATTTCTCCTGCAAATCACTTCCAAAGGCTTCTTAACCACATGGGTAAGCACAGTCACAGCAATGACTCCTCTTCTTGGTACATATTTTCTGATAGTCGACTTTTCATCACTGTGATAAATACATGAGAAAATCAACTTTGATAAGGAAAGATTTATTTTGACTAATGATTCCAGAGGTTTCAGTTCACCTTCAGTTGGCTCCCTTACTTTGGGACTGTGATAAGGCAGAACCTCATGGCAGAAGGACATGGTACAGGAAAGCTGCTTAGCTCAAGACATCCAGGAAGTAGAATGAGAGGGGGGGGGCAAGGGAAACATAAAACCTTTAAGGAGATGGCCCCACTCACCAACTTCCTCTATCTAGGTCCCATCTCCTAGTAATTTATTCATATTTTTAATTAATCACATGTATTAATTCACTAAGGAGATTATAGTCCTCATGAGCCAATCATTTTCTAAAAGTCCCACATCCCAACATTGCTACATTGGGGACCAAGTTCTAAACATATGAATCCGGGGAAGGAAATACTTCAAATCCCAACCCTAACAATGGTCTTTTCCTGAAAGTTCATTATTTAACTGGTTGTATTGTCATCTAGTTATTCTGTCATTTCAATATTTTTGGAAAGTACCAGTATTACTTTCTTCTTGATCATAGAACCAATTGTGGTTTTTCTATGTTGACTTGGCAGTGATCTTGCTCTGCCTTGATGAGGGCTCATGAAGATGCTACACCACTTTCTAGGAACATTATATTTAAGATTTATGAATTGAATGGGTGTGAATAATAGTCAATAGAATGTGTGGTTCTAAATTCATCTTTAATGAACCAATGTTTCTGAGCTGCCTGGTTCTATTTCATATTGAATTATGTGCTTTTTAAAAATGGATCCAAAAATCTACTTAAAGACATTTGGAGATGATCATAAGTGTTTCTCCATGACTCCAAATGCAGTAGTGAATATTCACTAGCTAATTTTTATTTGTTTATTTTAATCTCTGTCATTTAAATATAACCTGGGCTTAGGTTGTGGCTCAGTGGTAGAGTGTGTTAGGCATGGAGTTCAATTCTCAGCATCATAAGTAAATAAATAAATAAATAAATAAAATAAAAGTCCATCAATAACTAACAAACTATTTGAAAAATAAAATAAAATAAATCTAACCAAACATGTAAGAGTCTGGAGAGTCCAGTGGAGATGAATTTGAGAGTCAGACTTCAGGCTCTCTTCAGATGATTGTGCCAAAAGAAGCTGAGGTGGCAGTTCAGGTATAACCTGCTGCTCATATTCTCAAGAACGCTGCTCCATATTTGGAATATGGCAGAATGTGAGGTGATCATTTGCACCTCCAAATTCAGTAGGCGGAGAAGCAGTCATTGCTGCATACACAGGGAAGTTTCAGCAGTCCCTACGTGAACTCAAAAACATACTGTATCCAGGCCTTTAATACTTTTTTTCTTGGACCTAGTTTTAGTACTGGGAAGTACTAAAGTTTAGTACTGGGAAGTACTAAGTTTACTTGGAAGTACTAAGCTTAGTACTGGGAAGCACCAGAGCATATTGATAGCTGTTCGAGTTTCATGATTTATGATACCCACACATGTATTGCTGGCAGAAAGAATGTTGTTGAAAGTCTGCATGAATGAATAGGATGAAAGAAAGTACAAATTTGTGAGGTGAGAAGAGAGCAAGAAGAGGAGGGAGAACTTTTAAGATTCTGTCTTTCCTAGCCTCACCTCCATCACCCTCTGGAAATGAGACCTGTTTACATTCCAAGGCCATCACGCTGAGTTCTTGGGGTGTCTCCTTTTACAGGTTATTCCTGTGAGCCCCATAATGACCCTGCTGACTTCTTCCTGGACGTCATTTACGGAATTTCCTCTGCTGTGGTATTAAACAGAGAGGAAGAAGACCATGAAGGTATGTGAATCTTTTAGGTTCACAGATATTTGCCTAATTTGTTTGACCAAAGCTTAGCAATGTGGTGGCTCATTAAAACTTAGCTTTGTGAATTCACGTTTATGCCATGTTCTGATGCCAGCCAATAGATAGACTTTATTGTCAATGAGTGCTGTGTTTTATATTCAATTTATGAATGAGCAATTATGATGCTGTTATTGTAAGAGGAAAATTCACTAAAAATAAGTTGCTTATTATTTATTGTACTTTTATAATAAAAATTTGGTACTTTATGTATTTTCTCCTAGTAGAAAATAAGGACAAGGTTTTATACTAAGAAATATAACTCTTTGTGGTAAGAAGTCTGTTTCAAGAACTGAGATCCAAATTGTTAGGGAAAGGTTGAGTGAGTTTTTTCTATCCATATGATTATGGCAGAATCTGGCCAATTAGCTATGTTTACATCAATGACAACACTTGTGATAGCTTTAGAATAAAATTGTTATCTCATAAATGAGTCACAGAAAATTGGGTTAAGTCAGTTCTTGTCTGCTAATAATATTTCCCTTCTTTATCTATTTTTCTTCTAAAGTCAGCCACAATGAAGAATTTCCTAAGAGAGAAAAAACAGTTACAAAAACATTAGCTGAGTTTTATGCTAACTCCTCCCTGTACAAAGACACAAAAGCTGAATTAGAAGAACTCTCAGGTGGTCTTAAGAAGAGGAGACCAACCTTCATGGAAACCACCTATGTCACCTCCTTCTGTCACCAACTCAGATGGATTTCCTGGCGTTCATTCAAAAACTTGCTGCCTAATTACAGGACCTCTATAGAGAGGGTAATCTGAAAGATTCTTTTCATTTTGCTGTGAGATTCTTATGTGGGAGCAATTGGGTTCTGATATAGTCTACTTAAGAATTATGAGTATTTTCTTTTCTTTTTCTTATTTCTAATGTAAGAATTTTCACTTGAAACTTCTTAAAATATAAAATAGTTGCCTAATATGTTGGTACATGCCTGTATTCCCAGCTACTCAGGAGGCTGAGGTAGGAGGATCACAAGTTAGAGCCAAACCTGGGCAATGTAGCAAGACCCTATGCAAAACAAAAAGTGCTGGGGATGTGGCTCAGTATGAGCATATTTGCCTTGACTGTGTGAGATCCTGGTTGCAATCCTGATTATGGGAAATGGTCAGGTAGAAAATGTGCATGTTTCCTGGCAGAAGAGTTGAGAGCTCAGTTGAAGTCATCCCTCTTAGCTGCGTGGACTTTAATTTGTTCCCAGATCAACTTTGCCAGGTGCCTGCATTGCTTTGCTACTATGTTGTAGGACATTCATAGGTCCCACTCCTGAACTGGGCCCTGAACTGGGAATACTTGGTAGACACTGAGAGGAGTCTTGGCCATTCCAACATCTGCTCTGTTATTCTCTCAATTAAAAAAAAAAAAAAAAAAAACAGGTTAGTGTTTGTTGCAACCCCTTGCCCGCAAGGAAGACGCAACTCGGGAATCTTCTTTCAACAGTTTATTCAGGCCCCTGATATTTCTTCTTCTCTTTCCTGGATGCCCCTCCCAGCCTTAATAAAGTATCCCAAGCCCCAATGCAAAGCTGCCGCGTGGAGCTTTCTCACAGGGTGGTGAAAAATCATGTGCCAACTTTCTCAGATAAGAAGTTGTTTGTCACAGACCACAGTGGAGCCAGCTTCATCTTGTAATGGTGACCATAGTCTGCAGAAACGGCAGAAGTGGCTCACCACAGTTCCCCCTTTTCTGTTTTCTTAAAACAATACAGGCGAGAGTAGAGGTCCTATCCCACTGTGCAGAAGTGGCTGCATAGTATGACTCAGTCCTAAGGAGGCGCCTTCCCCAGATCTGAAGCCATATCAGCCGACGCCTTTTTTCGTGGGGCGGGGCCTGAACGCATCTAACCCGCATGCAATAGGACATGCTCTCCTTGAGGTCCACGTCAAGGATCACTCAAGTGCAGTGCCTTGCCTTGCATCCTGTATCGTGATGATGGTGGACGAAGGGGGATAGCTGAGGCTGAACTGTGGCTGTTTATAATGACAAACAAGTTGACAGCACCCTGAAAGAAAGGCACAGACTTTAAGACGATAGAAAAGTACTAGTGTGGAAACCCTTCTGCGTGCAATGGCAGTAAGACCGGCAGAGTTCAAGGGCTTTCCAACACTAAGAGAATAACAAGGAAAGTCATGTCGATCCCAGTGCAATGTTATAATAACTTGGGGTGTAACGACCATGACAAAGGTTTACTGCTTAAGATGCGCAAGCCAGACTTGAGGCGAGTTGCCATTTTCTAAAGCTGCGAAGAGCTTGTATGATCATAGCCTTATCGTGAGCACTGCGGGCCTTAAGGCGACAGAGAAGCCACAAACAGAGTACAACACTGAAGCAACACATTGCACCAAAAATGCCTACCCCCACCCACTCTTTAAAAAAGGAAAAGGCAGAGGATAGCCAACTGGTGAATTGACCCAAAGTCACTGGTTCGACACGGGTGCTATTCAGAACAGCAATCTGAGTTAGTTGAGACTGGATCAAGTTTTCTGCTTCCATGGACCAGGTTCCAGCCAAATATTCACCAATGATGCGGGAGGCATTCCTGGAATCATTAAATCTGACAGAGGTTATGCATAAATGTACACGTTGGTCAACACAACCCAAAAGCACCAAGTCGGCCAATTCTTCTACCTGAGCTTGGAGTAAATCTATTCTTTGGTTGGCAGCTAAAATCCCTGACAAAATATGTTGATTAATTGAATTTTGGGACTCAAGTATGGTGGATGTTTGCTGAATAACCTGATTAATAGTGGCAGCAGTTTGTACCTGGCTGGCCATGGCCACTCCGGTCGTAACCGCTTCAGCAGCAGACACTGCCACAGCTGTCACTATAGCTGCCGTAATTCCAAAATCCCTGTGGACTCTAAGTAGCTCAACAATGGGGAATTTATCTGGGTCCGCAGTGACTGGGATTGGGACAAAGTTTGGAATTTTCATAACCACTGCTACAGTCCAAGAACCATTCCAACACTCAGATAAGAGACAGGTAACACTAGAACAATCCAGCATCCCCGACGAGGTGTCATTAGCCAAAAGAAACAGGAAAGGAGATTGGAGACAGACTGCTGCGGAGGGTAATGTAGCATTAAACAATTGTGAATTGTGTGAAGTAATTTTAAGTCTCCTACCTCGCTCCGAGTCTTGGGTACTGCCAGAAACATTAAACAGCCAACTTTGGACTCCTAATATTTCCCTGGGGAAACACAAGTGCGGACTAGACTAGCCCAATCTGAGGGAGTCATGCAAAATCTAGTAAGTCCCTCCACCTGAGTGAGAGTGAAAGCGGCATCTATGCCATAAGTGCGGACAGATTCTGCCAAGGTTTTAATTATCTTAAAGTCTAAAGGCTCATGATATCTTCCCCTGTTATTGTCCTGAAATACAGGGTATGCAAGTCCCATATCTGTATTAACTGTCCTCCAAACTTGTGCATGAAAAGATCTCCCGGAACCTTGGCTCCCCCCCACATACGGAGGTGGGGCAATCGGCACCATATCTTCTTCTAGATATTCTACCTCCTCCTCCTCAGAGTTTTGTTGACCGATGTTAACTCCCTTCCCCTTCTTACAGTAGGCCTGCATGCCCTGTGTCTCCTTTTTCTTCTTTTTCATTTTTATCTTATGTAGTTGTTGTAACAATATGTCAAGGTCCTCAGAACTCTCTGAGTCTCTTGTGTTCTCAGGCGTTTTTAATTCGGTCAAGTCTGGGTAGAGCCTTCTCCTATTTTTATCTTCAGGCTCTTTTGCCTTCTCACTACTGTTACTTTTAATACTCTCTGCCACTTCACTACATGATCCTTCAGATTTTTCCTCATGCAATTGCTCAAGAATAGCTTGACCCTCACTCACAGCTTCCTGGCATTTACCATCTGTAAGGCAACCACGGACCATTTTCCAAAGGGGTATCACCCCACCCTCTAATATGCCCTGCTCAGAAGCAAAGTCAAGATCTTTGCCTAATTTATCCCAACTAGGCACAGTAAGGCTGCCCGAAAATGCAAACCACGGTGCAGCGATATCTATCTTCTGTAAAAATCTCTGTAAAGTACTATGTTTCACTTCCAGTCCCTTGGAACGTAACAGGCCATCTAGGGCCAGGAGAAGCGGACTTGAAGATGCGGCACCCATGACACAACAACAAAGGAAGCACAAAAAAAAGAAAGCGAAAGTAGGAGCGAAAGTACACAGTGCAGCTGCAATAAAATGTAAGGCTCTCTCTTTCATTACAGAGGAGCTGTCCCGCTTTGGTCACGGATCCCACTTACTAGGGACTAACCCCGCTTTGATCACGGATCCCACTTACCTGGGACTAACCGGTGCACCACCCCTGACTGTTGAAAGTTCTGGTTCCCGGGTTTCGGCACCACTTGTCGCGACCCCTTGCCCGCAAGGAAGACGCAACTCGGGAATCTTCTTTCAACAGTTTATTCAGGCCCCTGATATTTCTTCTTCTCTTTCTCTGATGCCCCTCCCAGCCTTAATAAAGTATCCCAAGCCCCAATGCAAAGCTGCCGCGTGGAGCTTTCTCACAGGGTGGTGAAAAATCATGTGCCAACTTTCCCAGATAAGAAGTTGTTTGTCACAGACCACAGCGGAGCCAGCTTCATCTTGTAATGGCGACCATAGTCTGCAGAAACGGCAGAAGTGGCTCACCACAAGTGTTCAACTTAATTTAGAAAGTAGTGTAATAGTGTGCACTGTATTCTGATTCTCTCAGAGACTTTGGCCAAGCCATGTAAATTGTTTATCTCAGTGGTGAAATCTGATTATGAAGCTGTATATTTTATCATAAATGGTGTACATTTTTCACTTCTAATTGAAACTATTTCTTTATCTTTTTCATTTTCCTTTTTTACAAAGATCATTATCACAATCATAGGTGGACTGGTTATGAGTGCTATTCTCCTTCACTTAAAAAATGATTGCACCGAAATCCAGATTAGGTAAGTAAATTTGAATCAATGCTGTTATTTTTTTCAAGCTTGGAAAAATCCATTTCATATTTTTTGAGTGTAAGTATTGAGTAAACATTATATTCATTGTGGGTAGGATGTGTTCATGCATTGAAAAATGAGTGGAAAAATTAATTTTATTTTTCATATATATTTGTATCTATTTATTGTTGAACTGTATACATCATAAATTTTACCCTTTTAACCCTTTTTGAATGTACAGTTACTGTTCAGTGCATCAAGCACCTGCTCATTGTGCAACTATAGCCAATATCCAACCCCAGAATGTTTTTTTTTTTTTTTTTTTGTCTTCCCACACAGAATTTCTATACCCTACACAGGGAGAGACCTCATGGGGTCATTCTTCCCCTCTCTTTTAACCAGGATAGTAATTTTTTTTCTTCTTCCTTTCTTTCTTTTTTTATGGAAAAAAAAAAAAAAACAAAACTATGGTTCTTTTGTTTCTGTTCTGTCCTGGCAGGACCTGGACACTCTGTCTGCTAATTGGCTTTCAGTGTTTACCCAACCTGTCAGCAAAGGAGACCTTTGCACTTGAGAAGAAGCTCTTTATGTGAGTAGATCTCTATTTTAGGAAGGAGCTTGATGTCTGTTGACTAAACTGGTGATATCCATAATTGGACCAAGGATCTGATTGGGAGAATATCAGTATTTTTCTTTTCTTTCATATGTTGATTTGTTTAAAGGACCAATACAAATCATATATACCTATCATGTACAATACGAGCTTTCAAAGTATGTGCAGAGATAACCAGTATTAACTGAAAAAAAAATGAACAGGGTATAAAGTCAAGTGTATGGGGCCTCTTGCCAAAGGAAGAGTGAATTTTGGGGTGAGGTGTAGTCAGCAAATTCCAGTGCTGCAGAGAAAGCAAGCAATAGAGGGGCTGAAATTATATTTTTGTTTCTAGAAAATAACAAATCAAGATGACTCTAGCAAGAACATTTTGAGGAGCTAGGTAGAATTGTAGTGGTGGGTTAATCAGCAAATTAGCAGTAGTAGATAAAGCTGACAAAGAATTGAAGTTGTGCAGCCTTCAGTGGCTTTAAGAATGGAATGAATCAAAGGAAAAGAAAAGGTTCAGTTTTTCTCTTGAGATTTTCAAATATAAAGGAGATTTGCCTGTGCTTACATATGCACCAAGGATAGCAATCATTAGAGAGGGAAGGAATGAAGATACTGGTGGAAGAGTTTGAAAATACAGGAAATCCATGTGAAGAAGAGGAAAGATGAGCATTTAATATCTGAAAGGGTGTATTGTTGAAAGACATGATCATTGAAGGAAGAAGTCTTTTTTCTTCTTTCTTTTTTTTTTCATGAGAGTAACAAAAGTAAAAGGAGAGGGCTGGGATTGTAACTCAGTGCTAGAGCGCTCTCCTAGCACATGCGAGGCCCTGGGTTCCATCCTCAGCACCACATAAAAATGAATAAATAAAATAAAGGTAAAAATAAAATAAATTAAAATTAAAAATAAATAAATTAAAAGGAGTTTAGGAAACTGCACCTGCATGTAGGGCCTTGGAGAATAATAAAGCCATCTTTGTCACAATCATAAGTGGGGAGAAGAAAAGCCTCTGTTATCACTGAGATTAGCCAATGTTTTGCTCTTCAAGCAGAGCCCAGCTCAGAGGAGAAATATAGCCTCTGAGGAAAGTGAGGAGATGCAGACACTGTCCCTAGAGGGGTGATGTGGGCCAGAGTGGGCAGCACAGGAGGAGTGCTGTTATGAGAGGATCCAGGCAAGAGCCTTGGGGGGCTGATGCCCCAGGGAGGCTGATGCCCCAGGGAGGCTGCACCTGAAGTGGAGAATGACGTGGGGGTGGGGGTCAGCCTACAACCCTTGGACATCTGCAGTGTCAGACCTGGTGGCAGCAGGAGTCTGCACAGAAGAGTCTCCTCTGGGCTGTGCCTTCCTGGACTAATCTGGGATGTATGGTATGTGTTTTTGTTCTGCAGACAAGAGTACATCAGTGGATACTACAGATTGTCTTCTTACTTCTTTGGAAAACTGTTATCTGATTTTCTACCCAGGAGTTTGTTAACAATCATTCTATTTACTTGTACAGTATACTTCATGTTAGGTAAGTAACAAGATAAAGAGGATGTGTCCGTAGTCTTACAAATGAAAGAAAACCATCTTCTCTTTGTAAACATATTTATGGTTTCCAAAACGAAATATCAAGTCATAAGCCAGGAGAGCAAGTATTCATTCCTCACTTTCTAAAATGGTAGTTCAGTTGTCAATACTGTTCTACACAAATTCTTTTATTTTTATTTGTTACTTGTGTGTGTGTGCAGTACTGAGGATTGAACCTGGAGCCACTCACATGCTATACAAGTAGTCTACCATTGAGTTACATCTCCAGCCGTTTTTTACACTTCTATCTTGAGATAGGGTTTTGCTAATTTGCTCAGGCTTGCCTTAAGCTTGGAATCCTCCTTTCTTGGTCAACCCAATTTCTGGGATAACAGGTGTATGGCACTGTACTGGACTCAACTGAACTTTCAAAGTTATAAATACATTTTATGTCAGTAAAATGCTGTGATTCATACAAAAACATGTAAAGAATCCCTTCATATTTGAGACTATGCTGGAGATAATGGGATATTTATTGCTTTTCAATTTTTCTCTGTGTCTCTGTACCTATACCTCTACATAAAGATAAAGTATAAATGGAAAAACTATAAATAGGTATTAGAGATACAAAGAGAGAGCTAAAAAAACAACACACACACACACACACATACATACACATATTTATTCTTCCTCTCCTTTTCCCTATTTAAAGAAAGATGATGACTTTTGGATTCAGGGATTTAACAAGAATACTTGTTTAATGGCCATAGACACATTCATTCGTGCATTATGCTCAGGCTTCTTCCCAGGCTCATGCTGTGAGAATGTAAATGTATTTCTTTCTCTCTCTCATGCACTCACATGCACACATACACACATCACAGAAATATCTATTTTTGACAATACACTGCAGAGTAAGAACCACTGAGAAAGTGTAAACCTTCCAGTTTAGAAATAAAAGTTGTTTCATAAATAATTAATTATGTAATCTAACCCCTCCCCCACAGTCCTGATTAGTGTTACTGCAGCAATTGCAACATTGTAAGACTGATGGTGAGCATTAACTCATTAGAGTTCATAAGGTGGAAGAAGAAACTTCATTTGGCTCTAATCTGAATCAGAGTAATAGGATTTGTCTAGCGGTATTCAGCGTATGGATTCTTTCTCTTTCCTTCCCATATATTAAAACCATTGTTAGAAAAAAAATAGAGAATTGTGATCCCAGATTTTTTTTTTTTGCTGACAAATGCATTATAGCAGACAGCGAGTAATGTAGAGATGTCTGGGTACATGGGTGTGCTGTTGATGAGTTTTCTTTAATAGGAGAAGGCAGTATAATTTGGCTAGATATGTTGCCTGTGTCCACCTCACCAATTCTGAATTGGTCAAAATTACACATAGGGCAACATCAGTGTTATATGGGAAAATGCTTTGGTAGAAAGTGTAATAAATCTGTGTGGTAACGTTATACAGTGGTGAACGATGCAATTAATGTCCCTGGGTATTTCGGTCTTGGATGACAACTTTTCATCTTGATACTATTTTTTTTTTCAGAGTATTATGCTGTCATTTGTGCATGCGTGTATACACACACACACACACACACACACACACACACACACAAGGGTCAAATACATGGGAACCTAGGCAGGTAGACTGACCCTTTATTTTCTTTCAAAGGATTGAAACCAGGGGTGAAGGCTTTCTTCATAACGATGCTTACCATTTTGATGGTGGCTTATTCAACTGGTTCCCTGATCCTTGCTATTGGAGTTCACAGTATTTTTTTTAATAGCAGCAATTCTGGGACTATATTTTCTATTGATGATGGTGAGTGTGAACTGTGATTGTCTGAGAGGGAATTTTTCCCCTTGTTCCTTCCCGCTCTTTCACCTGTCCTGTAAAACCTGCTTTGAGGATTTTGTGCATAGACCTAAGATGCTTTCAGGATGCCATGGACTAAGATCCTGTTTATATTAGAGAATGTACCACTTTCCTCCTGGCACTTATCTTGTTTTTTTTTTCCTGGTGCTTAATGTGAACTATGTTAAACTTAATTAACATGTCCTTACTAACAGCTTTTAAATGAACATCTTGGTGACATTATAAAACCTTGATATATTGGAAATTCAAACACCAGAAGACAAATGATTAGGCACTTCCTTCATAAAAATAAGCTATTTGTCTGCCTTTCATGCTGGTATTGAGAACTGCCAGCTAGTTAAGAGCAGAGGTAGTTCAGTTGGGTTCATTACTCTCCAAGGTCAAAGTTAAGTTCCATGAGACGTTAACAGAGTTGTGCCACATGGGGAGCCTAACTTGAATGACTTTTGCATTTTGCAAAGGAGTATTTTAAAAACACTGGAAATCCCAAACTCATAGTACAAGGTCACCCTATTAATGGGTTCCTGATGCTTTTTATATCAATATTTTCCTGCTTACTTTTGCTTTTAATGATTACTTAGTTTTATTCTTTTATGCCTTAAATTTTGCACTCACAATGATGAATCAGCAGAAACTAGTTACCAACCTTTGCCACACAATGACATCAAATAGGAGTGGTTATCCTATTAATACACACGTCCTTTCTTCTACAGTAGGAGGAGTTGTCTTTCAAAGATACATAATTAGCATAAGCTCTTGCCAAAGTTTAATTATTTCATGTATAAATCTGGCAAAAATCAATGTATATCACTGAAAAAGCAATGTCTTGTTTATAGTTTCTACACTGTCATACAACAAATAAAAGATATGATTAATTATTATGTAAGGTTTTCTATGTAGAAATTTAAAAATCAGTTCCAGGATCACATTTTACTTGGAGATGCTGACTTATATACTAAGCAGTTGGTTAGGTCCAGTTTTAACACATGCAGACAAAACCACAGCATTGTCATTGCTCCGAATACCCCAGGGTACCTCACGCCAGTTAGGACAAACATATGTGCACCTCACAGCTGTCTCTTGTGTGTCTCCAGCAGTCCTTCCTGGCATCTTCATTGCCACACTGCTTTCTGGTAGCTTTAAATGGAGGGATTGACTATGTTTCCTGCTGTATTTCACCACAATGTGTTGTTTATCAGGTCTAGGGTTTGGGTTTTCTAAGGCCTCCTTTCTGAGCTCCAGATGATTCCTAATGTAATGGATATATAGTGTCGACCCTTGTGAATAACAAATTACATGTTGTATGAAAGTAGTAAGGGGCATGTGATGCTTAGGATTGTTCTTAGACTGTCAGGTTCCTTACTGGGTACATATGATTTAATATAATTTGAATAGTCAGTAAAATCAGCTCTTCATGTCCATGGGATCCACATTCAAAGATCCAACCAACTGCAGATCAATACTATGCAAAGCAAAAATTATGTCTACAACGAGTATATGTGCTTATTTCTTTGTCATTTTGCTCTATTCATATGAACTATTTGCATAGTATTCATGTTGTATTAGGCATCAAGAAATATTAAAATGATTTTTAAAACACACTATATTTTTATTTATGCATAAAGAATGTATGTGGGTTACATGAAAATATTATGCCATTTTAAAAATAAGGGACTTGAGCATCTGCAGATTTTTGGTATCTGTGGACTAGATATCCTGGAACCAATACCGTTGGGCTACCAAAGGATAACTGTACTTCTTGGTATTCTTTTATGTGCAGTTACAGAGAAATTAGAGGACTTAGTCTTGATAATTACAAATCTTCCAAATAAGTGGAAAATATAATATAGATAATATTGTCCTGAATATCCCAAATAAATGAATGTATAATACAGACTATAGGTATATTGTCCTTCGTTTAATACATAAACTATCTTAGCTGTGTGGAGGTATAGATATGCAAGGGATGAAGGATGAAGCTTACTGTCTAGAATAAGTTGAAGAAATTTTAAGAAAGAGTTGGTCCAGCAGAAGTGTATAGAAAATTCTAGAGTTCTTGGAGAGACTTATCTAGAATTTCTTGTAAAATCACTGGACTTGTTCCGATTCATGGTTTCATGGTTTTTGCTTTTTTTTTTTTTTTTTTAGATTTTGATAAGTTTTTCACTGGATTTTGGAAACTTTGCCCCTTGGCTGTCATGGATTCAGTACTTAAGTATCCCTCACTATGGTTATATGGTAAGTTGTCCTCATCTGTCATAGGAAATGTATTCTCAAGCTGGATGCAACAAAAACAATGCCTATCCATATTGCTTTGACCATGACCAGTGAAGGTGTCCTATCCAGCAGTCACCTTTTATGACTGAAAATCTCCTATTAGCTGTCGCGACCCCTTGCCTGCAAGGAAGACGCAACTCGGGAATCTTCTTTCAGCAGTTTATTCAGGCCCTTGATATTTCTTCTTCTCCTCTCTCGGATGCCCCTCCCAGCCTTAATAAAGCATCCCAAGCCCCAATGCAAAGCTGCTGCGTGGAGCTTTCTCACAGGGTGGTGAAAAATCATGTGCCAACTTTCCCAGATAAGGAGTTGTTTGTCACAGACCACAGCGGAGCCAGCGTCATCTTGTAATGGCGACCATAATCTGCAGAAATGGCAGAAGCGGCTCACCACAGTTCCCCCTTTTCTGTTTTCTTAAAACAATACAGGTGAGAGTAGAGGTCCTATCCCACTGTGCAGAAGTGGCTGCATAGTATGACTCAGTCCTAAGGAGGCGCCTTCCCCAGACCTGAGGCCATATCAGCCGACGCCTTTTTTCGTGGGGCGGGGCGTGGACGCGTCTAACCCACATGCAATAGGACATGCTCTCCTTGAGGTCCACGTCAAGGATCACTCAAGTGCAGTGCCTTGCCTCGCATCCTGTATCGTGACGATGGTGGACGAAGGGGGATAGCTGAGGCTGAACTGTGGCTGTTTATAATGACAAACGAGTTGACAGCACCCTGAAAGAAAGGCACGAACTTCAAGGCGATAGAAAAGTACTAGTGTGGAAACCCATCTGCGTGCAATGGCAGTAAGACCGGCAGAGTGCAAGGGCTTTCCAACACTAAGAGAATAACAAGGAAAGTCATGTCGATCCCAGTGCAATGTTATAATAACTTGGGGTGTAACGACCATGACAAAGGTTTACTGCTTAAGATGCGCAAGCCAGACTTGAGGCGAGTTGCCATTTTCTAAAGCTGCAAGAGCTTGTATGATCATAGCCTTTTCTTGTGCATGGCGAGTTTTAAGGCGACAGAGAAGCCACAAACAGAGTACAACACCGAAGCAACACATTGCACCAAAAATGCCTACTCCCACCCATTCTTTGAAGAAGGAAAAAGCAGAAGATAGCCAACTGGTGAATTGACCCAAAGTCACGGGATCGACACGGGTACTGTTCAAGACAGCTATCTGGGTTAGTTGAGACTGGATCATGTTTTCTGCTTCCATGGACCAGGTTCCGGATAGATACTCCCCGATGATGTGGGAGGCATTTCTGGAATCATAAAATCTGACAGAGGTTATACATAAATGTGCATGTTGATCAATACAACCCAAATGTACTAGGTCAGACAATTCCTCAACTTGAGCTTGAAGCAGATCTATCCTTTGATTAGCAGCTAGAATCCCAGATAAAATGTGTTGATTAATTCTACTTTGAGATTCAAGTATGGTGGATGTTTGTTGAATAACCTGATTAATAGTGGCAGCAGTTTGTACCTGGCTGGCCATGGCTACTCCAGCTGTAACTGCTGCAGCAGCAGACACTGCCACAGCTGTCACTATAGCTGCCGTAATTCCAAAATCTCTACGGGCTCTAATCAGTTCAACAATAGGAAAAGACTCTGGATCTGTAGTAACCGGAATCGGGACAAAGGTTGGAATTTTCATAACCATTGCCATAGGCCAGGATGCATTCCAACACTCAGACAAATAACAGGTAATATTAGAACAATTAAGCATCCCCTGTGATGTAACATTAGCCAAAAGAAACAGGAACGGAGATTGGAGACAGACTGCTGTGGAGGGTAATGTAGCATTAAACAATTGTGAATTGTGTGAAGTAATTTTAAGTCTCCTACCTCGCTCCGAGTCTTGGGTACTGCCAGAAACATTAAACAGCCAACTTTGGACTCCTAATATTTCCCTGGGGAAACACAAGTGCGGACTAGACTAGCCCAATCTGAGGGAGTCATGCAAAATCTAGTAAGTCCCTCCACCTGAGTGAGAGTGAAAGCGGCATCTATGCCATAAGTGCGGACAGATTCTGCCAAGGTTTTAATTATCTTAAAGTCTAAAGGCTCATGATATCTTCCCCTGTTATTGTCCTGAAATACAGGGTATGCAAGTCCCATATCTGTATTAACTGTCCTCCAAACTTGTGCATGAAAAGATCTCCCGGAACCTTGGCTCCCCCCCACATACGGAGGTGGGGCAATCGGCACCATATCTTCTTCTAGATATTCTACCTCCTCCTCCTCAGAGTTTTGTTGACCGATGTTAACTCCCTTCCCCTTCTTACAGTAGGCCTGCATGCCCTGTGTCTCCTTTTTCTTCTTTTTCATTTTTATCTTATGTAGTTGTTGTAACAATATATCAAGGTCCTCAGAACTCTCTGAGTCGCTTGTGTTCTCAGGCGTTTTTAATTCGGTCAAGTCTGGGTAGAGCCTTCTCCTATTTTTATCTTCAGGCTCTTTTGCCTTCTCACTACTGTTACTTTTAATACTCTCTGCCACTTCACTACATGATCCTTCAGATTTTTCCTCATGCAGCTGCTCAAGAATAGCTTGACCCTCACTTACAGCTTCCTGGCATTTACCATCTGTTATACATCCTCTAACTAACTTCCAAAGTGGTATAACGCCACCCTGCAAGGTACCTTGCTCATGAGCGAAATCTAGATCTTTCCCTAATTTGTCCCAGCTGGGAACCGTAAGACTCCCTGAAAAAGCAAACCAAGGAGCCGCTATATCAGCTTCTCTTAAAAACATCTGCAAAGTACTCTGCTTTATCTTAAGTCCTTTTGAATGTAACAACCCATCTAGGGCCAACAAAATTGGGCTTGAAGAAGCAACGCCCATAATGTTTTTAGAGCTATAAAGAAAGTGAAAGTACAAAAGTCCCCGCTCTCTTCCTTTTACAGGGGAGTGTTCCGTTCTATGAATTCCCTGCTCTCTTCCTTTTAACAGGGGAGCGTCCCTGTCATCACAACAACAAAAGAAGCACAAAAAACAAAAGCGAAATGACACAACAACAGAAACACAGAAAACAAAAGCGAAAGTAGAAGCGAAAGTACACAGTGCAGCTGCAATAAAATGTAATGCTCTCTCTTTCTTTACAGAGGAGCTGCCCCGCTTTGGTCGCGGATCCCACTTACCTGGGACTAACCCCACTTTGATCGCGGATCCCACTTACCTGGGACTAACCGGTGCACCACCCCTGACTGCTGAAAGTTCTGGTTCCTGGGTCTCGGCACCACTTGTCGCAACCCCTTGCCCGCAAGGAAGACGCAACTCGGGAATCTTCTTTCAGCAGTTTATTCAGGCCCTTGATATTTCTTCTTCTCCTCTCTCGGATGCCCCTCCCAGCCTTAATAAAGCATCCCAAGCCCCAATGCAAAGCTGCTGCGTGGAGCTTTCTCACAGGGTGGTGAAAAATCATGTGCCAACTTTCCCAGATAAGGAGTTGTTTGTCACAGACCACAGTGGAGCCAGCGTCATCTTGTAATGGCGACCATAATCTGCAGAAACGGCAGAAGCGGCTCACCACAATTAGCCTCAGTTAGTACAAACTCCAGGAGTCACATGGGATTTTCCCCAATCACCTCATTGTTTGAGGAAGATGAAGGTTGTAAAGAAATTAGGGAAAATAGAAGAAGCAAAAATAAGACCATAATACACTCTTAACTGTATTGGCTTTAGCAAGCCAATCAACTCCAAAGTGACTGTCCATCCATATATAACCAAATTTCTAACTCACATAATTACAACTAGTTTTGAGGAAAACATAATTATCATAAATCAACATTACCTTTGATCACCACTGTATTATTTTAGTTGTAGTGTTTATGGGACTATAAAATTGGGAAGAGATGAAGGAATGACTTCTTGGCCAATGGGAAGCAACATCCCAAGCTTAGGCCTCTTGATTTCCAGAGAAAATAAGGTATTTTGTGGGAAATAGACTATGAATATGAGACTTTGGCATATTGTAAATACAAAATTAAGATTAGACTTGACATCATTGGGATAATTTCTGGGAAACTTTTAGAATCCAAGTCTGTTTCACTTCTGTTCCCCCTTGTTATAGGCTTTGCAGTATAATGAATTTGGGGGACAAAACTTCTGTCCAGGACTCAATACAACAAAAAGCAGTGGCTGTTCCACCTATGTGATGTAAGTTTGTGCTCAATGTCACAAAGGGTTTGATTACTCCTATGATGTGATTAAGAAAGGCCCCCAGGCTCAAAGCTGATTTGATTCCTTTCAAGGCTAACAAAACTTCCTGATTCTAAGTTTTATCACTTGAAATATGAGTCCTTGTACAGTAATATATATGAACACCCATACAATTCCTGTATTGAACATAAAATTGTGTTTAAGTTTAATGTGGAGACATATTTGTTTTGAGCCTTTTGAGAAATTGTTCTGATGTTTTAGTTGTGGGATTCAGTTCTTATTTTTTTCAGAACTATTGATTTTGAAATTAATTGCTTTGACAGTTTAGTGAAGGATCATAGATTCTGATAACTTGGATTCTGTGCTACCAGTGAGCCCATCCCTTGGAGATTAGTAATAGCTCAAAGAATAGCAGTAGCATAAAAGTGGTTAACGTTGCTTTGCTGAGATCCCGGCCCTTCTTTTTGTTCACACTTATGGGAAATCAAAGCCTGCATAGTTGTGTGTGTGTGTTTGTGTGTGTATATGTCTATACATTGACTCAGTATACTCCTTATCAAAGGCTATATCCTCTAGAGAAAGAAATACATATTTCAGTTAGTTTACAAAAAAAATCTATTTTTGAATAATGTCATTAAAACTGAAGTGCAAATTTCAATCAATTTAGAAGATCTCATTTTTAATTTTTAATACTACTTTTGTTTTCTATGATTGCTGTTATCTTTGACTTTAACAGATAAATTACCAAGGGGAAAGAGAATCTGGCATGCTCAATCTCTCCTAGATTTCTCAAATGTATGGAATTAAGTCTTTGTAAAAACACAAACCCTATTGTTAATGATTGATAAAGCCTCTTCTAAGAGGAGTTTTCCTTAACCACTCTTTTTGTTTTGACCTGGGCATAGTCTTTGTGACAAAAAGTTAGTGCCAGGCTATTAGTCAGGATGAAATGGACGGGAAACATTAGACCACATAAGGAGAAACTACCACAGGCTTCATGCTCACAGAAGGCTCCTTCACATAAGAGAAAATAAGAAGCTCCTCTAATAGCACAGAGAGGTTAAGGATTTTTTGAAATGGCTGAATTCCAAGAGATGCACAAGAATGGCAGCAGGCAATAATTGTGACTGCACAAGGTGTTTTTTATTAAGAGCCACTTTTCCACCTTGTGGCAGGAATGCTCCATCTTGCTGTGTTCCAGCTGCTACCTAAGTCTGATTCCTGGGTATCTTTCTGTGGTGGAGTGTCTGTGATGATTATTACCATCATGGTACAAGAGCTGACAGATCCTGACTGCCTAGAAGCATTTGTTTCCTCTATCTGTAGTTGTAGAATTCTTGCCTGTGTTTTTTGGATAACTATTCTGTGGGTGAGCCAAACCAGAAGGAACTTTTGATGCTCTCAGTAAGGTCCATAGGTGTCATCAGTTAAAGCTGAGCTTTTACCCACTAGGAGTGGTGAAAAGTTCCTTCATTAATACTTCCTTTGAGGAGAGTAGCATTATAAATTTGAAATGGAATGAATCTGAGGAGACTAGAACTTGGTTCATTGTGTGACTGTAAACTTGGCCAACTTCATTCATTCTTATTAATGAATCCTCCTCTTTGAAATGTGTGTAATACCTATACCCCCTTGGGTTATTTTTGGAATTCCCTAACTTACTAGGTACAAGGTGCTTAGCACAGTATTTAGAAAAATTTTAAGCACTCCATGATAGGTATTATATACGAAGTGATGATTTCATACAATTTGGTTACTTATTGGCTTCTAAGAAAGAAATAGTGAATATATTGAGTAAACCTTGACAGATGCTACAAATGTAATCAGAAATTTTGTGTTGAATTTTAGATGTACTGGTGAAGAATACTTGACAGTCCAAGGCATTGATCCATCTCCGTGGAGCTTGTGGAAAAATCATCTGGCTTTGGCTTGTATAACTACTATCCTTCTCGCAATTACCTACCTAAAATTGTTACTTCTTAAAAAAAAGATTCTTAAAATCCCCTTTAATTTACCATGAATTACCCTAATATTAAAAAGGAACACCGCAATTTATTTCACCAATGCAGATATTTTTGCCTTTGATCAGTTGCCTGCATACTGTTGTTCAGAAAAAAAAAAATATTTTTAATAGAAAATATTCACAAAAATCACAACAAACTGAATTACACATGAAAGAACCCAAGCCAAAACAACTGACCTGTTATATTAGCTCATCTCATCAAACAGTAAAGAAGTCCAGTCTAATTTATTGATCTGAAAAGGAGAATTAAATTACTGAAACACTTAGAAAGTTAATAATATCTCTAGTATGAGTTTTCTCACCTTCAAAATGCATGGAAGGTTAGTAGACCTCTAGTTTTAATAGATGATGAATCCATGATCTGCCATTCTATAATAAATAACAGATATATATTAATGCTGTATTAAAATATGAAATCTAAAATGTGTTGTAATACCCTGTGTTATTTCCAGGGGACAAAAATCTATGATGATATTAAAACACATCTTGATGAGGTTATTGATGATGTTGGAAGTTAGTGATACTTCTCTAGTGAAAATGTAAAACCTCAGGAGTCTCAGCAGGGGGCTTTGTGTCATAGTTAGAATAGAGACCAAAGGTTTGGGGATGTAACTCCTGTGCCATTTCTGAGACACTCTACTCAGAAGTCACTTTACTTCCCTGGTTGAGTCAGTGGTATATGCATCAGATTCTCCTGAGAGCTCTGTTAAGACACAGATGCCTGACCCTGCTTGTCCCACCACAGCAACACATGCAGAGCCAACACATTGAAACACACCAGAGATGGATTTGGTCATTTCCAAGGTCCTTTCAGCTCAGAAAACATTGGAATTATGATTCAATGACTGTTATATCTGGGCCTACAGAGGATTCCCCTATATACCTCATTGATTTCCACATACCATCTTCATTCTATCAATAATGTCATATTCTTGTTACTATGTGAACATCAAGGCCAATGAATTTTTTGGGTTTTGACTACAATTCCAGCTTTTTATATAACTATGTTTTACTAAGTACAGACTTCCTTATTATGCAGAGAAATGCATATGTATACCTTGTGCTCAAAATATACCTGCCAGAAGAAAGAGAACAGTAAAAATTACTAACATATACATTTTAATAAGAATTTAATAGCATCTACAAATAAATTATTGTGTTTATCACCCTTGTGCATTATGATTGACTTTTTGTATAGTGTTTCATAGTGATAAGAAACATATAACATAAAATTTATCATCTCTATATTTTAATTAAGGTGCATTTTTAAATTATGAATTTATTTTTCTATGAAGTAGAAAGAAAAATGTTAGTTTTAGATATTTAAGAATATGACTATAATCTTTATAATTTTTTTTTGTTCCTGGATATCAGAATTAATCTATAATGGATAGGACCAATTAATTTGGTTTAAACTAAAAGGAACCACAGAAATAAATGAATTTCTGTGTCTATTTATACTCCAGTTACTTTTCCAGACAGTCAAACAAGAGTATAAAAAGCCTGTGGCTATGGAAGGCTACTTGGTAAGTTGGGGAGGGAGGAAAAAAGGGGAGAAAAAGTGAGTAGTTTGGAGAGAGATGTTAAAGAAGAATATATTCTTCTTCTCCTAACTTTGAAGTCATCCTATATATATTTAGATTTGAATTTTATTAACATCCATAGCAAATATACATTTGAAAACTGAGATTACTCATTTATGAAATGTTTTTCACTATTCCAGTGCTTGCTCAGTAGGCGTTAGAAGTGAATCTTCAAGGTGGCAGGAATGGAGCTCTCAACTGGTCCTAAAACAGCTGGGGCTGTCACAAAGGCTGAGGTACTGACAGCACTGCTGGTGCTAGAGCTGTCAGCAGCAGGAGCTGATGCTGGGCTCTTGGTATGTTTATGACATTGTAGGAGAGCAGATGAGTCAGCAAATGGGTGTCAAGATGATAGTGTGCAATAGTTGAGTGATCGTCCCTAACATGAGTGGGACCATGTCTTGGGCTTTAGGTCCTAATACAGGTATTAACTTTGCAGAAATGTTTTTGTATTATCTGTTTTTGCCCTTTCATGGCAAAGTAGTTATGACAAAGGCCATTGTCACCAACAAAGCCTAAGTATTTGCTATCTGTTTCAGTAATTTTTTTTTTCTGCTGTGACTAAAGGATTTGACCAGAACAATTGTGGAGGAGAAAAAGTTTATTTGAGGGCTCACACTTTCAGAGCTCTTAGCCCATAGAAGGCTGGCTCCACTCCTCAGGGCACGACCTAAGCCTGAACATCATGATGGGAAAGGATAGTGAAGGAAGGCAGCTCACATCACAGTGACCAGGAGGCAGAGAAAAAGACTCTACTCACAAGAAACAAATATATACCCAAAGCCACACCCCAATTCCCACCTCCTCCAGCCACACTTGTAGCACTTCAGTTACCACTCAGTTTATCCCTATCATTGGATTAAATTACCGATTGGCTTAAGACTCTTACAACCCAATTGTTTCTCCTCTGAAACTTTTTACATTGTCTCAAATGTGAGCTTGGTTGGCGGGGGGGGGCACATTTTATACAAAACATAACACTATCTATTTCTTTATATAACTTTGCAAACATCTACATATCTATTTCTTTATATAACTTTGCAAACATCTACATTAAACCAACAGAGCTTGCAGTATGCTTATATTTAACTACAAGACTGACTAGGATTAATAATAAAATTTATATTCATAGCATTAATTCATTCAAATACATCTTTTAGCCAGGCATGGGGTGCAAAACTGTAATCAACCTAACTGAAAAAAAACAGGCAATGAACAAAACATACTTGTTTCCCATTAAGTCAAAATATAAAATTTTAAAGGTTTGATCGCAAATATACAGAAAGGGAAACTCAATTATGTAACAACTCTAGAGTACATATTCAATGTTACCAGGAATCAGGGAAAAAAGGGCTCAATCTCAACTCATTCTATCAGGAAGTAGATGGTACCAGTGCTGGTGAGGTTATGGCTTAAACTGGAGTCCTAGTACACATAATTAGATTATCCTGGGCGTTCATTCTGGTGGGCAGCCTGATAGTCCTGGGTAAAATATTTATTCACTTCACTCTTATCACTCGAATCCTTATTATACATCCAGAGAGGAACACATGAAAAGTTAACAAGGGAATTATGTTCATGCAAAGATTTTGAAATGATGGCAATAGAACCAAACATTCACTATAGGAATGCATAAGTAAAATATGGTGGGTTCATACTAGCAAATACTACACAAATATCAGAACAACTTACTCTATTTACATAATACAGAAGAAATATACTGTAATAATCAAGACATGTATACTACATTAGTAATGTATAAGGAAATAAAAGATCCTGTATTATAGTATAAATTCACTTACTTATACTAGTTAAAGCCCATTAATTATAACACATGAACAAAACATTTTTCTACATATCCCAAATCATCAGAAGGGCCCATTTTGGGAGAAATGACAGTAATGGAACAGTATACAATTGGAGAGAAATATATATCTTAGCGGTGCATAAGATAAAATGGCTAAAATATTTATTGGGGTTGATATGAGAAACACATGACACAACATCCAACAAAAATCCAAATCATTAGAGAGGCATGGGGTGAACAACTTTAATCACAGTTACTGGGAAGACAAGCAAGAGGATTAAAATTTCCAGGGCCAGCGGGGAAACCTATCTTAAACCTGTCTTTAAAAAAGGCTGAGGATGAATTCAATGGTAGAGCACTTTCCTAGACTAAATGAGGGTTCAATATCCAGTAGAGAAATTTTTTGTTGTTGTTGTTAATGCACAGGATGCATTTTACTAGAAATCTTAGAGGTAGAAAACAGAGTAACTGACCAAGAAACTGTATAGTATACTTAAAGACTTTGGACAAATATGCAAATAAACTATCAAGATAAAATAGGTCATTTACCATGGCTTTACTAAAAATATTTTTAGTTGGGACTCAAATTGAGACATGGAAATTTGATTTTCAAACCTTTATAATCATATACTTTGATCTAGTGGAAAACAAATGTGTTTTCTTCAGGTACAGAAGAGCCATTAGAACATGTTATTTCATATGTCTTTCTAAATTATATTTTTCTAAAAAAGTCTGAACTCAGATAATAGACAAAAATAACAACTTTATTTGCAGTTGAACATTCTATTCTGCAGTATGCTTATATTTAACTACAAGACTCACTAGGATTAATAGTAAAATTTATATTCATAGCATTAATTCATTCACTACATCTCTTTAGAGTTGAAGTTCATAGGCATTAGATTCTCTGGGAACACTTACTGCCTCCAATGGTTAATGTACATTGCATTTCTCCAAGCTTTTTAGTTTTCTAAACTACGTGAGAGCTTGTAAGTGTAACTTACAAAGGGTACATAGCTTATTTTTGATAACAATTCCTAACCATAATCCTTTAATTTTCTGGGTAACTTACTGAGTCCCAATCATTATGGCATTTGTTGGTTCATAGTGAAAAGTGGCTTATATTCCCTTTTTTCATCCTTTGAATGCATACAGCACAAGTGGCTAATACCAATATTTCAATGAAATGCCCTTGTCTTTGTAATGCTAATATTATGTAATAAAATTCTATTAGTCACCTTAATTACATCTTGGGTGTATATGTGCCCCAATAATATTAATATATCCTTTAGTCAGTACAAGAACCAGCAGTTGATCTGGGAATGAAGCTTAGTTGTAGAGTATTTACACAGGATGCTCAAGGACCTGGGTTAAATCCCTAGAATCATTAAAAAAATCAGTTCATAAAAGAAAAAAACCTATAGATGATTCATATAACAATCCTTTAGGAATTGCAAAATTGATGCCATTTTGACTTGTTACACTGGCAAAATATATTCTATTTTAATCAGAGGACTTGTTTTCCTTCTAGAGACCAATTGAGATGTACCAAGTCCTGTCCAGATTTCTTATTGGCCATATAGGGTAGTTAAAAGGACTGTGGGTTGAGCATAATTTATTTTAGTCAATTCATGTTTGGTGTCTCTTATCTCTCGATAACAATTTGGAATACATGTTTGGTGTCCCTTATCTCTCGATAACAATTTGGAAGCTGGCACTGTTTGGTGGTGACTATACAGAGAAGCTCAGGAAAATCAATGGGAGAGTGTTTAGCATGCCTTCTTAATATTGGCTTTACAGCTCACATGTTTAATCTCTTGATAATAAAATGAAACTCCCTTACTATGTTTTATGGAAATCTATGCCATTAGATAAGGATATCAATTACATATTAAAAAATGGGAGGTATGAACACCAGGTAGTGGATAGGCAGCAATTGTCTAAACTGAAGCATAAGTGTTGACAGTTGAACCCTTACTGTTTTTCCCATCACACCCACCAATAGCAGTTAACTTGCCCAAGATTTTGTCAGGAATACAATAGATCAATGCATATTCAGCTTCCACATCCACCAATACTGTTGATTGCAATGTTTTTGTAGACCAATGTACTGCTAATTTTATATATGGCCTCCAGTCCAGATACACAATTCAGATGCCTGAACCTTGACCCCCAACTTACTCATCCTTTAAGCAAACAGCCAAAAATTCATCAGGCAAGTTCATGGTGCTTTTATTATACCTCTTTTTTTAAATTTTATTGTTTTTTTAAAGAGAGAAAGAGAATTTTTTTAATATTTATTTTTTAGTTTTCTGTGGACACAACATCTTTATGTGGTGCTGAGGATCGAACCCTGCGCCCCTTGCATGCCAGGAGAGCATGCTACTGCTTCAGCCACATCCCCAGCACCTATTATACCTCTTAATAGCAGGAATTTGTCTTTGCCTCTTTTGGGAGCAGGAGTTAATTTATTATTCATGACTATCTCCTCTTTCTTTTCCTTCTTGGAAGATAAGGGTAATTGCTTCCATAATTGTACCAGAGTGGCATTAGGTTGCTTATCTATTTTCTTTTCCTCCACTCTTGTTTGTATTAATTCTACCCACACCTGTTCACAGGAGAATTGAAGGGGTCCTTCCCAATTTTAGATGGATTTTATGGGGCTCCATTTTCTGCTACAATCTTTCTATCTCTCCTAGATTAGCTATCATTTGTGTGATAAATATGAGAGACTGCATTCCCACTATGTGACAGATGGATTTCTTCAGATGATTTATGAGTACATTTTTTTACTATATAATGAAGATTCCCACCTACATATTGGAGAAAAGGGAAATGTCCAGTTTCGGTCCCCTTTACCCAAATAATCACATTCCTTGAAGCTCTTTTTTATCTCACCATCATGAACAACAAGCCTTCCTAGGCACTGACCAATAATTACCCCAATGACATGTAATTGTGCCTTATAACTATAGAGTGGTGTATTTAGTGATATTTCTCCACAAGTTCATAGAATCATCATCACAGTGGGATTAGGATCTATTTTTTTTGCCATGGTATCCTCAGCATCTACCACATCTCACACTGTATGATATAAGTATAGTATACATTATATATTATAATATATAGTATACACAATATATATTATTTATGGAAATATAATGGTGGAGTATCTATTTGAACATTAGGGCTATCTTATTCTGAAGGACTAATAAATCTTTATCAATTAAGGGAGAATCTTAATATTCTATAGCAGATATGAAAACAGAACATAGAATACATATAAGTTCCTGGCCAAAGGCTCCATTTTCAGGACTGATAATTTCAGTTGGAATGTTGTCCAACTTCTCTTTCCCAACAGAGGCATCTAGCATTCTATATTGGCTTCCAAATTGGTAATTGATGCATACACATGTCTCTGCTGAAATGGTTAAAGGGTGGGTCATCTGAGCAGACTTTTAATAGCAGACAGGGTCTGAGACAGGCTTTCAAAATGGTGGCAAGATGAAGCTTGCCTACTTACTCCCCATCCAATAATGCAAGTGTCACATAAGTGGCTCTGTACTAGGAGGTCTTTTCCTCTGTGTGTGGTGGTAGTCATTTCTATCTCAGGCATTTCACACCCCTGTGGGTTATTTTTAAATGGAGGATGGGATAAATGCACACCAGGCAGTCAGCACAGAAATATGAGCAACCCTACAGTTTGCTTCTCATTGGCTAAAAAATGATTTTGTATTGAGAGTAGCCTCTATATCTTATCTATTATCTATCATTCATCTATCCATCTATCAATTATATATCTCTCATCTATCTTTATGTGAGGACTTCAAGAAAAGCAATCTCTTGTGCAGTAGTATAAAATTATTTTAATATAAAAAACAAGGTCTTATTTTCATGTTGTGATATTTGATCTGATAAAACGATTGAATAACCTGGAAGGTTCTGCCTATTAAGGCACAACATTCAAATGAGACCTCATTTGAGCAGTTCAAGTCACCACAGTTATGTTCCTCATGTAGGTAACTGATAAACTGAAAACTAGAAGGCCAGGGTCAACTGAAGGATCCACTGATGGATGCTCAGTTCCTGGATTGTGGCTCTTTAGGATACATTCCGGTGTCCCCAAGTTATAATACGACCAATGTTACAGGGTAACAAAGAATTAAACTTCCCCTAGTGTTTGTTTCTTTTTTTTTTTTTTGACTTTTACAAAATGTTTATTCTTTTAATTCCAATGAACTCACAGGGGGTTAACACTTTGTTTCATTTCCACCAACTGCAGCATTATGTAAGTAAAGCAAAATAAGCACTTTTATCATAGATGTAAGCCAATGATTAATAAAACTTTCTTTTTTTAAAGGACCTAAACTTCCCCCAAATTTCAGCGAATTTTATTGTATGTCTCTTTTAGAAGTTGATTTTAAAAATAGTGTGTAGGAAAGTTTCAAACTGTGTAAATATATTATACCATGTTATCAATCCACCAAATCAAAAGCAACTGCCAAGCTAAATAATAAATTACAAAGAAATAATAATTCTGGCTTGTACAGAAATATGCAGTGTTTTCAAAGCTCTTAACAGTTATCCACTAATACAAATCTCCAAAGCTTAACTTAGAATTGAAAGCAGTTTCACAGTAACATTTTTAACCTCCATTTACATTCACTTTAATATATTAAAGATGTTTATTCTATGCCACAATGGTGCTTTCCAGTGTTCACAATTTACAGTTTCAATTTGTACATATGTAACTCATTAACATAAGGGAAAGTTATTCCTGTTACAAACTATCCCTAAGAAGAAAAATAAAACCCCACCCTACATAGAACTCTGAACATGGTATGACTTAAAAAACAGATTAATACAACATGGTTTTTAATATTTTATCCATTTTCTAAATACCAGCATGTAAACTTGCCTATTTAATATATGACAGCTACAATTTTATTCACTGAGAAATTCTGCATAAATTTTATTTAACCATCTTTATCACCTTATCATAAAAATCTCTTGACTTGCTGTTTCTGTTTCAGTGAATTCCAAACTGTGTGTGTATATATATATATATATATAGTTTTTTTTTTAATTTTAAGACGAAGGAAGCAAGGTGATATACACTGCAAACAGAAAAATGTCCCCCCCCCCAATTAAGCCTTTATAAAAATTTTCTCTTCTATACTATTTAACACTTTTAAAAAGTCAGTTAAATTGTTTCATCTTTAACAATAAACAAAATATTACTGGAGAGTCAGTCTGCCCCACCTTTCTGGGACCTAAAATTCTGAGTATGTGAACAGAATAAAATACTTCAGTGTTAAATCCCCAAATTTATAATTGTTATATGATTTGACTGGATTAATTAAAATATACAGAAACATACAATTCAAATTCAATAGGTGGTTGGTTATTTTACTTTTGGGGGTAGATAGTCAAAAAACAAAGAGTAACAAATGAAATAGCAAAAAAGTTTTGTTTCCCATCTTAAAGGTGAAGGGAGGGGTGACAACAGATCACAGGGCAGTTTAAACCTTTAAAATCCATTGACCTATCGTTTCAGGTCCAAGATGAATTTCTGAATTTTGTTGAATAGCCCCCATTCTTTCCTTGAGTATCAAACTGATTGGTAGTCACATCTCCAAGTATAATTAGAGCTTAACAGTCTGTTGAATGAAATATTAATAAAGTTTAAAAGACAGACTAAATTCAAACTAGAATAAAAAATCTACTCAAGTATTACATTCAGTTTTCAAATCATTTACTAATATGACAACAGATTTGGCTTAAATCACTCTTGCACACACTCACAACCAGACACCCCAATTACTGATCTGCTCTGCAACACAAGGCCATATAATCAGAGATGACATTCTCCAAGCCAAACATTAAATAGATTAAAAAAAGTAATTTCTAATTTTTACAGAAATGCTTCTTCAAAAAATATTTTCTTACTCCCTCATCTCCTATACTGAAGGATGTATACTGCTTTTTTTGTTGTTGTTTTGTTTTGATTTCTCAAGCTAAAGCTGAACACTCAAAATTGATTCCAGGCAGAAAATCTTTGTAAATTAAAACCAAAAACAAAAATAGAAAAATTATATTTTATATATGTATGTACGTATGTGTGTGTGTGTGTGTGTGTGTATGTATATATATATATAATATATATATATATATATATATATATATATATATATATATATATATATATATATATATATATATATATACTGATTGGAAGCCTCCAGCATTTTAAAATCACTTTAGTGATGAATTTTGGGATTCTACTCCTCACAATTCCAAAATCCATAATGATTTAAGGATATATTTTGTTTCCTTCCTGGCTACCCATTCCCCTCCAAAACAGTTCAACATAGCCACGGCTCAAGTTTAATGGGAAGAGAGAAAGTTTTTGAATAGTTTTGTTTTTTTGATTTTACTTTGGTGATCTGGGTGGCACATATTGCTCTTTGCCATTACGTTGAGTCACTCCCTGAGGTATAGCCCTATGGCTAAACTGGCGTCTCTGTTCCCTGATTTTTCCAGATGCTCCCCCGGGAATGGTATTGCCTCTGAAGCCAGAATAATCCTTACTAGCCCTTGCTTCTGGCTTCTCATGTGATTTCTCAATGGACTTCTCAGGAGCTCCAGTCTCTTCATTTTTGGTGGGAGACACAACATTGGAGCGAAGTTCCCGTAGTGGCTGCACAAGAACTGGAAATGGCTCTTTAGGGGGCTTCTGGCACACTTCGGCATAACTTAACTTTCGAGGTTCCTGTATGGTCACAGCTCTGGATGCATTTGTGTTACTATTACTTGGTGAAGCAGTATTTGCCTGTGGTGTCTTTGCAGTGCTTGGGGAAGAAACTGGTATAGTCATATGACTGAGAACATCTTTCTGAACACTGGATTCCTCTATTGGGTCCTTTTCTTTCTGAGTTGTGCTTAATGCAGGAAGCTCAGCTGTACATGGAGGACTTGTACTCATATTGAGTTGCAGGGCAGAAGTACAGTCTGTTTGCTCATCTTCTACAGGTACTGGGCAACTAACTCTCAAGTCTTCATTATTCTTTTCTTTGTAGACACCTTTAACAACATCAGACATTCTATTCTCCAAAACAAGTTCACCTGGCATTCTTGATGAACTTCCAGGTAATGGAGGAAAATTTGAAGCTAGTAAGTCAAACTTTGGTGTAGGAGCCTTTGTTTCAGCTGTTGAAGGATGGGGTCTTGGGATTCTGTTATCTTCTCGTCGTCTTCGACCTCTGAAAACAGTTCTCCGATTTTTTTGGAATGGTCGACCAACATTCATAACAGCAGCATTTGTTTTATAAGATCCTGGTGAATTAAAGCCATTCACAAAACTACCATTGGGAAAGGGAGCCAGTGGCATTTCAAAGTAAGGTGCAGGACTTGGAGACCAAGACTGAGGCACAATACTACAGACTGAGTATTGTTGATGAGGATTATATACAGGCTGCATAAAGACTGGTGAGGCATACTGTGCTTGAGTTTGAATTGGTTGACTATACATACTAGAATCCATTAATCGATAACCATTCTTAGCAAAAAAAGTATTGATGGCTTTTATCCTTGCCATGATTGCTTGCCCTGAAACGTTTTAACTTCTTCTCTTAAGTATTTAAAAGCCTGTTGTGCATCTGTGTCTGACTGAAAAGTGATATACCAGTTGCTATTATGAGCAAACTCACAGCTTATCACTTTGGGGCAGTTTTCACTTTTAAACAAAGCTTTCACTTCCTCTACTGGTGTTGTTTCAGGAATCTCTCTGAGAATGACAATACAATGTTTATGACTTGGTCTCACCTTCTCACCCTTCTCATCAACTTGTACCATAGGAGAAGATCTCAACACTTCAAGAATTAGATCAGGATCTGTGGTCAATTTTTTTTATCTCTTCCATGTTGGCAATTGTCCAAATTGGGATGAACAGATCATTATCCATCTGAGATATCAAATAAAGATCCTTTGACAAGTTTTCTCGTGAAAAACAGAATTCTAATTGTTTCTTTAGACATTCTTTTAGGTCTTCTGTGGAAATTGTTGAACTGCTTTCTCCAGAAACATCATATATTTGGTAACTCAGCTTTTCAGGTCCTAATATCATTCCATCAGTTGATTCTTCAATGCCTGTAGTGTTTCTTGTGGTTTCACAAGATGGAGAATACATTACTTCATATTCCTTACACATATCTTCTGAAAGCTCAGCATTTCCTTCAGGATGAGACCCTGATGTGGCTGCTGTTTCATGCCAAGAGCTTTCAGTTCCATGAGCTACAGTAGTGGCATCAGGAGTTCCAGGAGGAATTTCTTGCCATGCTTTGGCATTAGGATTTAAACCAGTTCCTTTAGATGTTACCTGCTTCTCCCTCCGGGGTCCCACATGTTGCTTGCCTTCCTCCCAGAGGCCCCGTGAGGCCTCGCCTCACTCCCCCCCACCTAGTGTTTCTTTAAAATGTAAAAGGGAGAGGACATTTCAGAGGGTTAAAAATTAGCTATAGATAGGCTTGTTGGCACATGCATATAATCCCAGTTACTCAGGAAGCTAAGGAAGGAGGATCAAAAGTTTGAGGAAAGCATGACAAATTTAGCAAGATCCTGTCAAATAAATAAATAAATAAGGTAGGGGTTGTGGCTTGGAGGTAGAATGCCTAAGGGTCCAATCCCCAGTACAGAGAAAATAAATAAAGTTTTATGCTCGTGAGTGGCTATGAAGGTGCTGACATTAAAGTTAAAAAAAAAGCATGTGAGAATATTCTATTATTGAGATAAAGTACTATTTGGGGTAATTATAAATTTGTACTTGCTCTAATTTTTTTTTCATTGATTAAACACACTTAAATGGATAAATTAAAGACTACAAAGATGATATTTGATTAAGGTCTGCAATGGAAAATAACATGAATTTTCTTTTTTCTTTTTTTTTTTTACAGGACTCTTACAAAATATATACATTTAATGATGTATGGTCTTGCACATGAGATCAAGCTAACATTGACCTTGTAACAATTTTATTTTTTTTTAATTTATTTTTTTTTAATTTTTTTTATTGGTTGTTCAAAACATTATAAAGCTCTTGACATATCATATTTCATACATTAGATTCAAGTTGGTTATGAACTCCCAATTTTACCCCAAATACAGATTGCAGAATCACATCGGTTACACATCCACATTTTTACATAATGCCCTATTAGTAACTGTTGTATTCTGCTACCTTTCCTATCCTCTACCATCCCCCCTCCCTCCCCTCCCATCTTCTCGCTCTACCCCATCCACTGTAATTCATATCTCTCCTTGTTTATTTTCCCATTCCCCTCACAACCTCTTATATGTAATTTTGTATAACAATGAGGGTCTCCCTCCATTACCATGCAATTTCCCTTTTCTCTCCCTTTCCATCCCACCTCATGTATCTGTTTAATGTTAATCTTTTCTTCCTGCTCTTCCTCCCTGCTCTGTTCTTAGTTGCTCTCATTATATCAAAGAAGACATTTGGTATTTGTTTTTTAGGGATTGGCTAGCTTCACTAAGCATAATCTGCTCTAGTGCCATCCATTTCCCTGCAAATTCTATGATTTTGTCATTTTTTAGTGCTGCGTAATACTCCATGGTGTATAAATGCCACATTTTTTTATCCATTCATCTATTGAAGGGCATCTGGGTTGGTTCCACAGTCTAGCAATTGTGAATTGTGCTGCTATGAACATCGATGTAGCAGTATCCCTGTAGTACGCTCTTTTAAGGTCTTCAGGGAAAAGTCCAAGAAGGGCAATAGCTGGGTCAAATGGTGGTTCCATTCCCAGCATTCCCAGGAGTCTCCATACTGTTTTCCAGATTGGCCGCACCAGTTTGCAGTCCCACCAGCAATGTACAAGAGTACCCTTTTCCCCACATCCTCTCCAGCACTTGTTGTTGTTTGACTTCATAATGGCTGCCAATCTTACTGGAGTGAGATGGTATCTTAGGGTGGTTTTGATTTGCATTTCTCTGACTGCTAGAGATGGTGAGCATTTTTTCATGTACTTGTTGATTGATTGTATGTCCTCCTCTGAGAAGTGTCTGTTCAGGTCTTTGGCCCATTTGTTGATTGGGTTATTTGTTTTCTTATTGTTTAATTTTTTGAGTTCTTTGTATATTCTGGATATTAGGGCTCTATCTGAAGTGTGAGGAGTAAAAATTTGTTCCCATGATGTAGGCTCCCTATTTACCTCTTTTATTGTTTCTCTTGATGAGAGAAAACTTTTCAGTTTAAGTAAGTCCCATTTGTTGATTTTTGTTATCAACTTTTGTGCTATGGGTGTCCTATTAAGGAATTTGGAGCCCGACCCTACAATATGTAGATCGGAGCCAACTTTTTCTTCTATCAGACGCAGAGTCTCTGATTTGATATCTAGCTCCTTGATCCACTTTGAGTTAACTTTTGTGCATGGCGAGAGGAGGGGATTCAGTTTCATTTTGTTGCATATGGATTTCCAGTTTTCCCAGCACCATTTGATGAAGATGCTATCCTCCCTCCATTGCATGCTTTTAGCTCCTTTATCAAATATAAGATAGTTGTAGCTTTGTGGATTAGTCTCTGTGTCCTCTATTCTGTACCATTGGTCCACCCTCCTGTTTTGGTACCAGTACCATGCTGTTTTTGTTACTATTGCTCTGTAATATAGTTTTAAGTCTGGTATCGCTATACCGCCTGATTCGCACTTCCTGCTTAGAATTGCTTTTGCTATTCTGGGTCTTTTATTTTTCCATATGAATTTCATGATTGCTTTATCCATTTCTACAAGAAATGCCGTTGGGAGTTTGATTGGCATTGCATTAAACCTATAGAGAACTTTTGGTAATATCGCCATTTTGATGATGTTAGTTCTGCCTATCCATGAACAGGGTATATTTTTCCATCTTCTAAGATCTTCTTCTACTTCTCTTTTTAGGGTTTTGTAGTTTTAATTATATAAATCTTTCAACTCTTTTGTTAGGTTGATTCCCAAGTATTTTATTTTTTTTGAGGATATTGTGAATGGAGTGTTTTTCCTCATTTCCGTTTCAGAAGTTTTGTCGCTGATATACAGAAATGCCTTTCGTTTATGCGTGTTGATTTTATATCCTGCCACTTTGCTGAATTCATTTATTAGTTCTAGTAGTTTTTTTGTAGACCCTTTTGGGTCTTCTAGGTATAGAATCATGTCATCTGCAAATAGTGATAATTTAAGTTCTTCCTTTCCTATTTTGATGCCTTTAATTTCTTTCGTCTGTCTAATTGCTCTGGCCAGTGTTTCGAGAACTAAATTGAATAGAAGTGGTGATAGAGGGCATCCCTGTCTTGTTCCAGATTTTAGGGGGAATGCCTTCAATTTTTCTCCATTGAGAATGATGCTAGCCTGAGGCTTAGCATAGATAGCTTTTACAATGTCGAGGTAAGTTCCTGTTATCCCTAGTTTTTCTAATGTTTTGAACATAAAGGGATGCTGTACTTTGTCGAATGCTTTTTCTGCGTCTATTGAGATGATCATATGGTTCTTATTTTTAAGTCTATTGATGTGGTGAATAACATTTATTGATTTCCGTATATTGAACCATCCTTGCATCCCAGGGATGAATCCTACTTGATCATGGTGCACAATTTTTTTGATGTGCCTTTGTATCCGATTTGCCAGAATTTTATTGAGGATTTTTGCATGTATGTTCATCAGAGATATTGGTCTGTAGTTTTCTTTCTTTGAGGTGTCTTTGTCTGGTTTCGGAATCAGGGTGATGTTGGCCTCATAGAATGAATTTGGCAGAGCTCCTTCTTTTTCTATTTCCTGAAATAACTTGAAAAGTATTGGTATTAATTCTTCCTTAAAGGTTTTGTAAAACTCCGCTGTATACCCATCCGGTCCTGGGCTTTTCTTGGTTGGAAGTCTTTTGATTGCTTCTTCTATTTCATCTATTGTTATTGGTCTGTTTAAGTTGTGAGTATCCTCCTGACTCAGTCTGGGCAAATCATATGACTTAAGGAATTTATCAATGTCTTCACTATCTTCTATTTTATTGGAATATAGGTTTTCAAAATAATTTCTAATTGTCTTCTGTATTTCTGTAGTGTCTGTTGTGATATTGCCTTTTTCATCCCATATGTTAGTGATTTGAGTTCTCTCTCTTCTTCTCTTCCTTAGCATGGCTAACGGTCTGTCAATATTATTTATTTTTTCAAAGAACCAACTTTTAGTTTTGTTAATTTTTTCCATAGTTTCTTTTGTTTCAATTTCATTGATTTCCGCTCTGATTTTAATTATTTCTTGCCTTGTGCTACATTTGCTGTTGTTTTGCTCTTCCTTTTCTAGGGCTTTGAGATGAAGTGTGAGCTCATTTATTTGTTGGTTTTTCCTTTTTTTGAGGAATGACCTCCAAGCGATGAATTTCCCTCTTAAAACTGCTTTCATTGTGTCCCATAGATTCCGATATGTTGTGTCTGTATTTTCATTTATCTCTAAGAATTTTTTGATTTCTTCCTTTATGTCTTCTGTAACCCATTGATCAATCAGTAACATATTGTTCATTTTCCATGTGATGTAGGATTTTTCCTTCCGTCTTTTATCATTGATTTCCAGTTTCATTCCATTATGATCAGATAAAATGCATGGTATTATCTCCACCCCTGTATATTTACTGAGGGTTGCCCTATGGCATAATATATGGTCTATTTTTGAGGAGGATCCATGTGCTGCTGAGAAAAAAGTATATCCACTTGATGATGGTTGATATATTCTATATATGTCAGTTAAGTCTAGGTTGTTGATTGTGATATTGAGTTCTATATTTTCTTTATTCAGCTTTTGTTTGGAGGATCTGTCCAATTGTGAGAGAGGTGTGTTGAAGTCACCCATAATTATTGTGTTGTGGTCTATTTGATTCTTGAACTTGAGGAGAATTTGTTTTATGAACGTCGCAGCACCATTATTTGGTGCATAAATATTGATAATTGTTATGTCTTGTTGGTGAATGGTTCCTTTTAACAGTATATAATGTCCTTCCTTATCCCTTTTGATTAATTTAGTCTTGAAGTCAATTTTATTCGATATGAGGATGGCCACCCCTGCTTGCTTACGAGGACCGTGTGCATGGTATATTTTTTCCCAACCTTTCACCTTCAGCCTGTGTATGTGTCTCCTGGATGCAGCATATTGTTGGATTTGTTTTTTTAATCCATGTTACCAGCCTATGTCGCTTTATTGGAGAGTTTAAGCCATTAATGTTTAGAGTTACTATTGATATATGGTTTGTACTTCCAGCCATGTTTGATTATTTATCTTCTTTTTTTTTTTAATTTAGTTTGTTTCTCCATGGTTAGCTTTCCCCCGCCCTCTGTCTTTATAGAGGCACTTCCCACTGATGGTTTTGGTTATTGTTTTTCATT